ATTTCGGCCAGTGTTCTACACCATTGAGGGTAATTCTGATGGAAGCTCTCCAGGGTAAAATCCTTCAAGCCATGCCCCGATCCGTTTTTCTGTCTACACCCTACACTTCAAACGGGCATTTGATCGAAACGGGTTTTTAACCGGTGAGCGGGAGAATTTACTGCTGAATCTACTTACCCACATGGGAGATCCCGACATACATAGACTTTTGAGTTCATCCGCGGACAACCTTTGGAGTTTTTTCATGAACCAACCAAACTAGTCCAGCAAATATGCAGGTGCTTACTCTGCGATCTACAGTATTGCCCAGTGCCTCTACCAAGTTTGGAGTTTGTTCGAGAAATGGCTTTGGAACATCTTCGAATCTGTCGGGAGAGCTTCCATATTCGTCCCATTGAGGAAGTCAGCCATGAATCCCTCCTAATTCACAGGAATTCAAAATATCCAACTCAAGCAAATCAGGCTGATGGTGTTGGAAGGAGTGTCGAGGAGACGATGGTATAAGCGAGGAGATGAAAAACGATCGGAGACGAATGTCCGTTCACGCAGCGTTTCCTCTAGGGACCACGATGACAGATCGTCTCCGGAGAATCGAGGCTGTCAAACCGAATTGCCATAAATGAAGTGGTGTCCTTGTCGTTGCTCTAACAGCACCACTCCAATCCAATAATGCCTTCTACTAGTTTGGCAAGAAGCCAAGTTCATACGCTTCGCTTACTGGAGCAGTCTGTAAATCACCAGCTTAGATCCATTGTACATCGCAGTATCAGTGAATAGAGAGGATTTCACTTCTGCGCCAATATAAAGCACAAAAGATGACGTCTTTTCTCGTCAATTGATCTCGTTTGTGGGATGCGCCTCGCACTTGACTGCCATTCAGACCCACAAGGGCGCCATCAATGTATAGGTAGCCTGCAATGTACTGGGAAGCCGACGTGCAAATCCTTTCAGGTAATGCTAGTACCAATGAATCGACCAGGTATGGATGGATGGCAGTGTTCGGTTTGGGCCAGAATCAATCCGGGATTCGATCTCCGGACCATGCTGCCTGACAATGTGGGTCACCTACGAGTGAATCACCTCCGCTCTGTATTAATGCACGTTCTAGAAAACGAAAAACACAGGAACAGCCCAAGTAACCCCGGGTATTTCCGAGTATTGCTGACGAGAGCAGAGCTGTAATACTTCAATCAAGAGGAATACCCTCATAACGAAGGCTTCCAGCCACCTCCCCCACAGTCCTGTAAGCTGTCTATACACAGAGGGTCCTGGCTCTGCTTCTTACGACTGATCGAAGACGCTTCTCTTTTCAGTGAAATGAAGAGGGCTCTCAGAGAAAGCGACTCCATGATATCACGAAATGAACGATGCTAGCAGTGATTTATTGGACGTCTTCCCATTCCGAACCAATTTGCCTTTGAATTGGTGGTATTCGGACAATTTTTCATCGTATGGCAGCCAGCTGGGAGAAATTAGGAAAGGATGGTAATGTCATGGCTGTATTCTTTGATTTACTGAGTCGGTATTCAAACTGATAAATCGCTCAGCATAGAAGTGAAAGCGTTCAGCAAGAAAATGAGAAACAGGGACTGATAAGGCTTTCTGGGGTGCACTTGGATACTTGGAAGTGGTGCTAACTAAAGCTACGAGTTTCTATAAAAAGGCCAATGCTGGCGTGGGTCAGTTCCGGTTTTGGATGCACTCACTGCTTCCGAATCCGTTTGGAATCATGGTAGCGTTTAAATTCGAATTGGGCCTATTCACGGAATTTTTAGCTCAGTTCGTGCACTTGGAAGTAAATTCGGTACCAACCAGTCGACCAGAAAAGGGCAAAAGATTCAGATTCTCCAGACAACCACGCGAGCTCAGCTGAGAAGTCATTGAATTTGTTGCTTCCACGGTGATAACAGCACTGTATTAGATATTGCAAGCGACATGAATATGGGTGATCAAAAGTGATAACAACTGATAATGACTAATAAAGAATGTTAAAAGTTATTGTTGAGTAGAATTTTTTCAGTTTTCGCTACGATTCAGTGCTGAGACCCAGATTATGCACGTGATGGACATGGTGACGCTGCAACCCACGTATGGGCCTTGGTCCATACCAGTTTCAAGCTGTCTACCCGGAGTTGGTAATTGGACCAGATCCGGGTAGACGGTTTGAAAGTAAAAGTAGACGGATTGGATCAAAGTGCAGGCTTGGGGATAAGAGTAGTCGGGTAGTTTTGCTAGATCCCGGTAGATGGCTTGAGAGCAAACGTGGATGCATATGGTACCAATAGCCCAACTTTAGGTAGGTAGACGGACCTGGTACGAATTACCCAATTCTGTATAGGCGGCTTGAGGGTGAAAACACCGCTTGGAACATCGGCTGATCACTGAAGTCGTTTCATATATGAAATAGGCACTCAGTCGTAAGTCTGCCCCTTGTGTGGTCAAGGGCAAAGACACAGAGCCATCACTGGTCAATTACCTGGACTACCGTAATGTACCGTACCACTCCCACCGTTGCCCATTGATTCCCAAACAGCTTGGTTAGTATAAATTTCTATGGTAGCAAGATGGCAGATTCTGATGACTTGTTAATGCCTCTGCCTCTCCTAGCCCATGTTGAAATGCGGGACTCCTAATCTCCACTCTAGTATGAGCCGTGCATTCCGCATCCATTCAGAACAATGGTGGATTTCGATCGCCTCTTAGGCTGAGGACTTTTTGCAAAGTTCCCGATCTGCTCCCCCTTCACGGAAATTCCCACAGAAGCAGACCTCCCATATCTCATCCTTGACTGTCTTTCTAATAAATTCCAGGTGCTTATTTGCTTATTTATTTATTCAAATATGAAAACAGGCGAAGCAACTTTGAAAAAAGCAAGCTGATACCCATAAAATAAAATATGGAGGAAATGGATGGCAGAAAAGAGATTTTCAGCTGCTTCATTTTCAATTACTAATAGGTACTCCATGGCAACAAAAAAAATGTAAACAAGTCAAGAAACTCCCAAGGTTATGTAGACAATGACCATATATACGAAAAGGGGTAATGATCGGAAAACATCATGCCAAAGCCGTCTTTTAAAAATGAGTTCTCCGAAATTTCCTGTCACCTGTCATCCCGTTCATCATCATGCCAGAGCAGTATTTTGAAAATGAAATCTCAGAAATTGAGTAAAAAAATGAAAAATTCCTAAAAACTGCTTTGGATATCGAAGAGCTGATAAATTAAGCGATGCTGGCTACCTACCACAGTATTGCTGGCATTCTTCATGGCAAATCATGATCAGCTGGCCTGGCAATTTGGCTTAGGTTATTGATGGTGATGAATTTCAGTGCTAAAACAGATGAATGGAATGCATGATTTTCTGAAATATGGCTCAAAGGGAGACCGAACTCAGCAAAACCCTTCCGCACGATGACTGCGCGTGCAGACTTGACTGGAACAATGCCTTGTCGTCATTATTTATGATGTGTGAAGAGGGGACTAGAATCGATACCCATGATGCGTTTCTAAGTGGCTGTAGTTGTAGAACAGCGAAACTCTTCAGTAACTGTTAGCTATGACCAGATAGCCTTCCCTGGATGGACGGAGGTAGGGTAGGTCACCACCGAATGGCCCTCTACCACCTACAGACTGAGGATCATTTGGAGGACCTACATAATCCCGCGCCACAAAGCTTCCATATCTCCTGATCGGTAAGTGGGCGACAGATTCACTTGGGAAAATGGAAGCACTAGCACTTATGTATGTAGACCGAATGCGCATTAAAACGCCTCGACGATTCTGAATAGAAATCTAATGATAGGCGTAGGCGCATCCCAAAATAGGATTAGACTCGGCAAAAAAAACGATGTCCTTCTTCCTTACTTGAGTTCGAGTGGGAAGTCAGTTCCGCAAGTGCGACTTACAATTAGATGCCCCCTTCTTCTATAAAAAATGACCGGCAGTGGCTCGCTTACAGTGGTTTAAACATCGCCAGAACATCGGTGGAGGGCATAACCATTGAGATAGTCCACCAGCCCCTCACTCCTCTATTTTGGAATGATATCCAATGATTCCGACCCATGGGAGAAAATAAAGGATAAAGAATAAAGTTTTTTGGCGTTAATCAATCCGCCCACCCTCGACTTCCATTCAGAATCGTAGTGGCGTAATGAGTGTGTATGTGGCCTGTACAATAATTTGTGGTGACCAGCCAATGTACTATCAATGCTTTTATCCTCTCAAACTAGTCTGGTATCAAGTCACCGACCCGGGAGGGATGGAAGCCTTGGTTGGCCTAGGCGGATGTTGATCTAGGATTTGAACCCGTGACTATGCGTGTGTGAAGTGCGCCACTTGTCACTACACCGCCCCCGCCCAGTACTTTGGTAGAGAGGAAGCTCGTTCTGTGACTTTCCGGATCAGCCCCTTGCCAAAGTTATCTATTTCGTCCTACCAGAAGACACCTTGTGTTCCATGAAGGCCTGGAAGACTAGAACGGTTCCGATTAAGTTCGGTTCAGCACTTCGTTTACCTAGGACACTGATTCGCATTCGAAGAAAAATATGATTATGCGATTTGTTGACGCCAGTTGTTTACCAATGTCAGCGATTACAATCTATTCCAAAGAGATACCATCTACTCACGCCGCAGTAACGACTGCGTAAGATACTCATTTGCATTTGTCCCTTCAGACAAATTGCTTAATCAAAAACGTCCGAATGCTTACATAGAACGATTTATCACAGAATAGCAGCAATGGGTTTATTCAATTGCCTGTTGATAAAGTGTTGAAAGATGACGTGATTTGGCATAAAGTGATAGTGTTTTGGGTTACGACCCGTTCGCCATGCACTCGGAAACGTAGTGGTGTACCACATATGTATATGCTGTTGGTACCAGACTTGTATGGGAGGATAGAGGCACTGGGTGATATAAGACACAGAATAAGACCAATCAAGCAATGTACAAGCTACTACAGCAGGCATTCCTGGATTTCCATCCTTTCGTGGTGGTCCCGGCTACCCTCTGGCTCTACGCATTCCACGAATTCCTGGAGGTCCAGATGGTCCTTGTGGACTAGGAAGTCTTTGAGGGCACATGAAGCAACCTTGCGAGCCTTCATTCATAACGTCTTCGGCATTAAGACCATCTTTTCCAGGAATTCCGTCGGGACCATCGTAACCGTCTGGTCCTGTAAGTCCAATAGGTCCAGTAGGACCAGGAGGGCAATTACTCTCAACGACGCTGAACTATGTGGTCTATACAAGGCTACGGTCAGTCATATCAGAGCTTTTACCCTCGGCGACGAGTCTGATAGCGATGAACCTGCCTCGGAGGAATAGAAGACCCGATTGACCTCCGAGGGGTCTGGGATTCGATCCCCGGTCATGCACAACTGATCACTTGCCTATACATTTTCTCCTCCTGATGATACTTCGAAGAATAAGGATCTCCTGTGAATAAGACGGTACCTACAAAAGCAAAACCATCCGATTGGCAGCTAGCGTGCAACGGTACAGCAGCTTGTAAGAGTTTTCTTTATATAGGAACATCAGTATCAACTGGTACCCTCGAAGCCTTCTCGACACCATAGTCAAATTCAGATAGAACCTTTGAAATCGCCTTGTTAGGGCATATTATTTTCCGAGAAAAAAAGAACAAGGGGTTGTTTGTATATATAGAGGCTCTCGTAAATAAATTCAAACTCCCTATTCAACAACTCCATTGTTATCAAAAGCGAAGTGAATGTGCAGCGAATCCCAAGAATCAATTGATGAGAGCAAAGTATTCTATCCAAATGTTCTGTGTCGGGAGAGCTCCCACTTGGCTTATCCGGGCAAACCTTGCTCACTTGCTCCTGGATGTTTGCTCTTCACAGCTGCACCTACATCCATTCCACAACAAAATCTCCGACTCAAAAGTTCCTATTTTGCCTCAATTCAATTTTTCGAAAACGTCAATAAAGCGAAGTCCGAATGATAACAAGTAGCAAGCAGAAATCTGGAAAGGAAGCCCAAAGACGTCAACGATGGCACGAAGGGACCAGATGGAATGAAGAATTCGCTATTCGTTTATTGTGCATTCAGAGCTTTGACGTAGTTCTGAGTTGCTATCCGAAACACTGTTATCCCTAGGAACCCAAACGAGTTTATCGGAACTTCGTCATCCCGATAAGCTAAGCGGCTTCCACACAGCAACAGCAACCAGCTAAATATGTCTGTCTGCTATTTTCCATGTTTAACAATCAGCAATCTATGCGTTCTATGATTGATACGATGTTTGTGAACAAACTGAGTCGTAAACAATAAATAAGTCACAGACGGGAAGTCCTTGACCCAAGCAATGAACGGAAGACCATGTCGCTTTTGCTCGAAATTCGAACAACAGCTTTCGGGTACTTATTTGGCTCTCGAGAATTTTACAGAAAATCTGCTTAGGGCCAAAACCCAGAAAGCGGCTTGTTCAGAAAAGAAGGGCACTCCGAAGTATTGATGGAACCAATGGCGAAATCTGAGGAAATCAAAGGAGATGCTGGGCAAGAGTAACTTCTCTATTTTCATTAAAAGACAGCTACCACTCTGACCTCAACCTATAGAATATAGTGTAAGCAGCTCCGAATGGCGATAAGCACATGGATAGGAAGAGACAGGAGTCCAAGGCAGGAGCCTGAGTTGGGATAAACTTTAGACCCCTGACACTGACATGTTTGCGTCCCATGACTGACAAAGGGTTCGGTTGCAAATGATCGGGTAAGAGCCGGAGGAGCTTCCAGAGTAAAACCGTCTTTTTATTAGGTTGATGCATAATTATTGCGGATTTTTTCGCGGCTTTTTTTCTCCCGAAAGTGTTTGACTATTGAGTTCGGGTTTTTTCTAGAAATGATCTACTTGATTTCCTCTACAAGAATATACTCA